TGAAGTATAAAGACTTAATATTTGCAGACTATATGTAAAATGATGTGCTGAACAAGTTACTTAGAGGCCCAAGATAGGTTTCCTTAGTAAAATAAAAAGTTATAAGTGTTTTTTGATGGATGAATTTTTAGTTAATTTTTGTGCAATGAATTTGCAAAAAGAGTTTTTTATCTTATATAAATTGTATTATATTACATTTATGTTTAGCTAAGCATATTAATAGTTGATATGTTTTATCAATTATTCATTTTAACATTTTTGTTAGTTGTAAGAGGTATTCTAGCTTTGAAATTATTACTGCATTGTTTATATATATAATCTGGCCTATTATTATTTTTTTGTATCTCAGATCTTTGACTGTTTGACTAACTATTCTTTTTGCTTTCTTATATACTAGTGCTTTTTTCATTTTACTATTTAGCCAAATCTTCAGTAATTTTACAATTTTGTTTTTAGATTCTTTTGTTATTTTGCTAAAGTTGTAATAATTTTGTGTTTTCATTTACAAAAAATATTGCTTACATATTTTCTTGTTTTTGTAATATTTTAATTCTTTTTAAAGCCTATTCTAGGTTTTCTAATAGAACTGAGTCAAATACCTTTTTTATGTTCTATAACAGTATCTAAACTTCTTTATTTTTCTCTTGTGCCTCTTCTATTATTATATTTAGTATATATATAGATTGCTCTATAGAGTTGCTTAGAAGATCTGCAAAATTTGGACTCTTATGTATGTCTTTTTCTGTAAACACTCTGGCTAGTCTTCTTGTTACTATTTTTGTAACAACTTTTTTTAAAGTTTCAATTAATGTTATTGATCTAATATTGTTTGGACAGTATTCTCAATCTACATCTTTTAGGATTAGATATATTTGTACTATTTTTCACTTTTTTGATATATTTTTTCTTTTTATAATTAGATTTGTGAATGTTCTAAAAATCTTTTGTGATTTCTTTTCTGCTCATTTTATTAATATGTAACTTATGCCTAATATTCCTGAAGCTGTATTTACTTTAAGCTCTTTATTATTAAAGACAAAATTTTGTTAGATATTAACATAAAAATTTGATATTACAATACTAAAGCTATTCTTAAGATCTTTGCATATTTTTATATAATGGTTTCTTTGGCATTATTAATAAAAGTTTTGGTACTTGCAGATCTTAAAATTCAAGGTCTTATTGGATATAAATACAAAACTTCAATATTCTAATACTTTTAAGATCTTTATTCTGTTATCATATACTATCATATTTTTATATAATAATTTCTTTAGTATTGTTAATTATAATAAAAGCTTTTATGGCTGCAGAATCTTTAAAATTAAAAAAAAAAATTGTATTTTATAGAGTATTGATCAGCATTAATTATTGAATAATCATTAATCTGTAATATATTGTCTTATATGTATAAGACAAATTTTTACATATATGGGCAAAATTTGGCAATTTTCATATTATAGACAAAATTTGCATATATGAGCCAATTATTCATATGTATAAGACAAAATTTGTATATATAAGACAAATATTTATGCATATGAGGCAAATTTTGCACTATATATAGTGTATAAAGAATGCTAATTATTTTTAATAATATATATATACACAAAAATCAGAGAACTCTTTTCACTAATCCTCGATTCCAAAACAACAAGAAAAAACAAACACAAAACCAATAGAAAATAGACTAACAAACACCCTTTAGACAACTAACAAAAAAGCTGTATCAGGAAAAAATACATATAATACAGTAAAAGTTAGAGGACAAAGAAAGCTGTACTAAAATATTAACAAGAAACAGCAATCTTTTCAGCAAAAAAGTAAGAAATTTTGAGGAATTGGCATTATCCTGAAAAACAAAAAACAAAACACATGATAACTGTAACAACAACAAATAACAACAAACAAATGAGTCTTGCCTAATTAGAAAATAGCAAGCACTATTATAGAACCAGTAACATAGTATTAACAAGATACTAACAAATATTACAAAGTTTAATTATAGATATTGATTAGCCTAAAAAGAAAGATCTCAATCCAATTATTAGAATATAGACTAATAAATAAAAATTGCAATGCAAATATTATATCCTATATTAGAGGAATAGAAGATAAAAACCAAAGACATGTAGACATTAGAATTCTGAACCAAGTTTTTAAAACTCCTACACAGAACCCAAGTAATATAGAGCATATTGCTAAAGAATTAGCAATATATGATTCAAAATATATTACATTACATAATATATTAGTATATGGTCAAATACTAAAAACATTAAGAATAGCAAAAACAAGCTGGCTTAAAGAAGAAATAATCGATAAGTGGGCAGTAAAGCTTAAGTTAATAAGCTTCAATTCAAACTTATTTGAATACAACATAAATATAAACAAAGAAATAACACTTCAAGAAGAAAAAAGAACAAACAATTAGCAAAGGCTTAAAATATTAGAAAAACAAATAGAAGGTCTTAGTATCATTATACTACATCATCAGAAAAGTCAAATAACCAATGAATATGAAATGCTAAAGAGTAATATAGTGCAGAAAATAGAGGAAAACAGTGAGAACACAAACATAGAATTAGAAGAACAAGAAAAAGAACCAAATGATGAAGAAACCAGCATCACATTTCTAGTATATATAGGCTTGATGCTATAGAAAAGAGAGAAAATGACAATTTACCAAAAAATATTTTTTTAGTATAACTAATGCAAAATTACCTGAGAAATCATTTTGTCTTATTAAAGTAATACAATTATCTTAATAAAATTTGAAATAATAATAAAACAATGTAAAACCATGTTTTAATCAGATAAATCGTCATGTAACATTCTGATGTAGATCGGATAAAATTTTTAGAATTTGTCATATCATGTAGAATTTGGATGATCCTAATCTTAACCAATCAGATTCATTAATTTTAGCTCATATTTCTTGATAACTATTCTTTATTGTATTCTTGACTAGCTTGTCACATTTTTCGAATATTTGCCATATTTATTAGCATAGCAAAAGTCAATACACTTTAGAGAGTATAGGTAATAGTTATTTCATGATTCTAATACCTATGACTTTATAATTTTATTTTCTACAGAATTTTTCACAGCTTTTCTTTATGGCAAATAAAATTTCTTTCTTTTGAAGATTCTTTCCTTGTTTCATTCTTTTACAGACAACTTATCAAATTTCCTAAAACAATCTAAAAACAGAAAAAGGGTTAGAGGTTATTCTTTGATAAGGGCTGATTACAGATATAATCTTTTTAAATATTAGCATGTTTTTTTTGTTAGTTTGTCTTAATATGTGTGCTATTTTACTTTAGTACATGGCTCCTAATTGTTCACTTATGACTTGTTTACAGTTGATATTTCACGGTCGATATGTTCATGGCAGATTTTAATGCATCACAAAAACCTTTAAGGTTGTATATCTGGTCAGTAACTGGAATACTTTATATTGTCGATCTGGAAATTGACTTGAAATACTTTATACAAAATTGGATGATCAAGTTTATAACTTGTCAAAAGTAGATAAAGGTTTATTATTACATATTGCTCAATCAGATAACTTTATTGAAACAGAGATGAAAAACATAAAGTAATTGTTAATGCATCACAAACCTTTAAGGTTGTATATCTGGTTATTAACTGAGATTGTTGATCTGAAAATTATACAAAATGAGACAATTCAAATTTATAACTTGTCAAAAATGAATAAGGATTTATTATTACATATTGCTCAATCAGATGACTTCATTGAAACAGAGATGAAAAACATTAATGCATCACAAACCTTTAAGGTTGTATATCTGGTTGGTAACTAGGATACTTTATATTGTCAATCTGGAAATTATACAAAATAGGACAATTCAAGTTTATGACTTGTTGAAAGTAGATAAGGGTTTATTATTACATATTGCTCAATTATATGACTTTATTGAACAGAGATGAACAACATATGGGAATTCTGTTCACTATCATTACAGGATTCACTCAAACCAACTAAGCAATGTCTATAATCCTAATAACTTATTATTGGATAGAACATATCCTATCTAAATCCATCAGGATCTTTCTACAGCTAGCTATGAACTAACTATTATAACTACACAAAAAAATCTTCACTCAATAAAGCCTACATAGCTGTGAAGAGCATACTAAAGCAATGCAAGGGTTTTTGCACTGATATAGCTATAGAGCCCCAGTACTGCAGTACTGTAATAGTGAAAAAGGTTCTTGTACTGCAGTTGCAACTGTGAAGTCTCAGCACTAAAACTGGGTCTTTGCACTGCAATTACAGTTACCAAGCCCAAAATAACTTATTATATTAGGAGAAAAGGGTGGGACGAAAGAGCCAGCCTTCTACAAGGCGAGCAATAGTGAAAATACAACAGAGACTGTTAATGTTACACATATATTAAAACTGGTGAGAGATTATATTCATCACAATTAAATCCAACATAAATAATTTAATTTGTGATTAATCACAGGCAAGAGAGATTTACTTTGGATCAGGTACTGTCTCTGCTGTATAGTGAAGAGAAAAATAATCCTCCTTAACCAAAAACAATAATTAAATATCTCCTCAAACCATAATACGCTTCTCTTTCACACTCTATCATCATATACAAGCCAAATGGCTTCTCCTTAATTTTGTTACCTGTTCACTAAAACTTATATCTGAATAATTTATCTGAATATTTGTCAGATTATCCAGATATTAATAGCAAACAGATATCTAGATAAATTCAGATATGGATAAATAGACAACAGATTTATCTGGATTGAAACTCTAAATCAAATAAATTATATGCAATCATGATGCAAAATTACAAAATACTGGTACTCAACAAGATATCTGCAATTTATTTCAATCCATAAAGGCTAAACGACTAAGAACATAGGATCTATAAAGTCATCTGATTTCACAATAATAATCACTTTATCACTTTGTTGACAATAATGTTAATAATAGGGTTTAAAGTTTTGCAAAAAAAATGACACATATGTTAGTTTTGTCAATTTTTTTAGAAACACATTTGGAAATTGGTTCATTAACAGAAGATTTTAACCAACTTAAAACCTTTTACCAAACTGAGAAAGATTATGAAATCAAAATAAAGAAAGTACTAGAAATGAATGAGCTTTTTTCTGAAAGCACATATTATATAGAAAATGATGAAGAAATGCCATATTTTAATAATTATGTTATTAGTCTATTGCAAATTAAAAAATTTCAAAAAATATTTTACCAAAATACAATTAAAGAAAACAACGAACAAGAAATTAATGTAAAATTACCCATTATATTAGATCAACAAGAGAAAGAAGCATTTACTAATAAACTTTGTACAATGGTCTGTTGTAAAACCAAAACATGTTTAACCAAAATCAACCATGAATCCACATTTAAAAAATTTGATAATATTCAAAAATCAATAAAAGTTGAGTGCAATATGTTTTTATTAGAGATGCTTTATGCAATGATTCATTCAAAAAAGACATTACACGATAAAGAAAAACAGTACATAACTGTTAAATATACATTTGATGGAAATGAAATTTGTGAAAAGGCTTTTCAAATTAATATTCACTATCGAATAAAAAATGTAAAACTATTCATCAACATTATCGTATAAATGGTACTAAACCTATTAGGAATGCACTTTTAGAAAGAAAATCTAATAACACTTTATCATTCACAATTGTTTTAAATGTTTTTACATTTATTGTCAATTTTGCAAACTGTTATGGATTGCTATCATCAGGTAAAATTATTATTTTACTTATAATTTAATTATAGTGCTATGCCTTTTGTCGCACCTGAGGTTAAAAGTTTACAAATGCTACAGACGTTTATAGCTTCGAGTCATTATATTAGAAATGTAAACTAGACTTAAAATCTTTTGTTAGTTATAATTTTAATTTTGGTCTTGCAAACAAAATTTGTAAAGTATTATAACTTGAATTTGCTTTTGAAGCTCTAAATTACTAATATCAACAATTATTTTAGAACTGGGTAAAACCTGCTCTGTGTAAATTAGTAAAATCTTTACATTAGAGTGAAATCTATGCTTAGTTATGTTTTTATTACTGTATCATCACGAAATAACATCTCGGGGCATTATTTCAAGACAAAAATTTTAAAATACATTAATAATTAATTTTGCCAAAGATTTTTTTGGCAAAATTAATTATTAATTCATTTTATTTTTTGTTTCGAAATAATGCTCTAAGGCATTATTTTGTGACAATATAGTATACAAAAGTGGATTTTTTATCTTTATGTGATCCAAATAGCTGATTTTACTAATTCACAATGTAAGTTTCATCCTGTAGTATTATTTTTATTAGGTCAGCATTTTCGAGAAGACACTATGGCTATTATATTTTTTCCTACTAGCAAAAGTTATGCTAAATTATATTACATTTATGAATCAAATTTAAATGAAAACTCTGATTACCATATTAGCCAATGGTCTTTTATAAGAATTTGGAAAAAATATATATCAGAAATTCGTTTTTTATCTCCTAGAAGTGACCTGTGTATGCTTTGCAAAAATATGCAATTTAACACTCAATTTTGAACAGAAAGTGAGTGAGATGATAAGATTTACGAGTGAAATAGTCATGTTGAATAGGTGAATTAAGAAAGAAAATATTATAAGTATGAAAGTTATTATTATTATTATTATTATTATCAATATAACTATTTTACTAAAATTAAATTTTTAGACAATGCATATTAAGTACTAAACAATAGTTACAAAATTTTATTAGCTTACCTAAATTTTTATATCTAGAAATATCGAATTCTTTAGAATTTGAAAACCACATTTTGTGAGACTTTGCGGAAGCTGTACACCTTCTATTTTCTTCACAGCAAGAAGTATTTATTAACAAATACAGCTGATCTCTATAAGTGTATTCTTTATAAGCATATCTTCATGTAGTTTTCCTTCTTAAATACATATTATATAACCTAAATTTAATATCTGTGATAATATACCACTCATAATCAGTTGTTGCTCACTTTTCTGAAGTCCATTTTTCTGAAATACCATTTCACTAAAGTTGTAATACTAACAATCCATTTTACTAATAGGACAGAAATAGGATTTCACCAAATATCAATTAACTAGCAAGTTTATTTCATTGATAGTTGATTTAACTAGTAGTCATTTCACCAACAAAGAATTCTGGCCATTGTTATCAAAGTCAGATTTAAAATTAGGGTTAAGGTTAGTGCAATCTTTAAAAAAAACCAGTCAGTGAAATGAGCTGTTAGTAAAATAATTGTTAGTAAAATAAACTTATTAGTTATTTGATTTTCAGCGAAATGACACAGACCTATTTTGGTCCTGCTAGTAAAATAGATTTTAGGTATTACGACTTTAGTGAAATGGTGTTTTAAAAAAATGAATTTCAGAAAGTTAAGTTACTTTTTTTAACAAGTGCACTTATGAAAGATTAACTTGATTACAATATCCACTATTAAAATATTTTGTTTTAAATTAATTTAATGATATATTTTTTAAGGGATCTATTTACTTCAAGTCTTTGTATAAAGTTTCAATTTTTGGAATATACAAAGATGCTTTTCCTCAACAGGTTATAAATTTTACTAATTAAAGTTTAAATATAGTAAAACCTCTCTAAATGCATACTCTATAGGTTCCGGTTTAACTTTCCGAAATTCATTTTTTTGAAACACCATTTCACTGAAGTTGTAATACTGAAAATCTATTTTACTAGCAGAACAAAAATAGATCTATTTCTGTCCTGTTAGTAAAATAGATTATCAGTATTACAACTTCGGTAAAATGGTATTTCAGAAAAATGCTCTTCAGAAAAGTGAGCAACAACACTCTCTAAGTACATGTTCTATATAAATTCTCTCTAAATATACAGCATATCTAATTTGTTCTCTATAAATGCATGTTTTTTTAAGTGCATATTTTGCTTTTTCTTTACTATAGTCATGAGGGAGTGCACTTAGAAAGGTTTTACCATGTATATAAAATTTATATTAAGATTTTAATAATGATTTTATATTAAAAAAACTACTTAATTAAAGAAAATGAGAATGTTGGAAAAGAAGCAAATGCAGTTATCTCAATGGTTCATCACTATTTCGAAAATCATAGTTTGGAAGAAAAATATATTGTAATTCATGCTGACAATTGTCCTGAACAAAATAAAAACAATGCAATAATAAAATATTTAATGTAGTGCATTTTGAATAAATTACATAAAAGAATTAAATATTCTTTCATGATATCAGGCTATACTAAATTTTCTTCTGACAGATTTTTTGGATTATTCAAACTGAAACTTCGGCACTCTGAAGTGGATAACTTGGCAGATTTGGTTCAGGTCGTTCAAGACTCTACAGTCAGAGGTTATAACACAGTGCAAATAATTTATGATCAAAATAGTACTCAACAAGTTCGATTTTATAAATGGGCAAAATTTTAGATAAATTCTTTAAGAACATGCTACAAATTCTCAAGCAGCATCGTTTTATTATTTCATCAGACAAACCTGGCATAGTAGAAATAAAATCAGCAATAAATAAGGAAAAAACAAAAATAATATTATTGAAAAAAAATAAAATTAGTTTATTTCCTTTACCTACTCTCCTGGTTCCTCTTTTAGCAAAAAATTTAACTGCAGAACAGCAATGGTACTTGTACAATTAAGTTCATAGTCATATCTGTGATCCAGCAAAAAGAGATGAATTTTGCCTATTACTATCTGTATCTTGTCCATAACAAAATAAAAATTATAAAATTTTTTATTATAAATCACACTTTTACACTTATCTTAACTTGATACAAACAATAAAATTACATAATAATTTTATATGTAGTAATGCTATGGTCTTGAATAACTTGATATCTTTATATTCATCTAAATTAAAAAGGTTATGATAATTCGATAATTTGATAAGTGCTACATATGATGCTTATTTCAATTAATAAAATACTTTTATACTTAATAAGTTAATTACACTGGTAAGATTTAAAAATTTAGACATGCGAATAGCATAATTCAAATGCCACTTAACATTCAAAAATTTTAAATTTTACTAGTATTAAAAAGAATTTTTAACAGCACAATACAAAATCTTTATACCAGCCTAAATTAATAAGAATAACTAAATTAGACATAGCGAGTTCTTAATTGTATCGATTAAAAAATATCATTATACTCATCTTACTAGACTTAAGTCTCTAAATGTTAATCAACGATATATAATGTGTACTAATGATGAGTGCTACAGAAAGGAGAAATCAATATTTATATAAATAAAACTCCAATATAAGCTTAATCTCAACTCAAAATCAAAGGTGGTAAATTTTTGAGTTTTTGATGAGCGTTAATTCTGGCTATTAATCCTTGGGCAGCAGCCTCTTCGTAACCAGTAGTGCCGTTAATTTGTCTAGCAGTAAACAGATTACTGATCAACTTAGTTTCCAAACTATTCTTTAATTGTATAGAGTTTAGAATGTTATATTCAATTGCATAACCTCATTTCTTTACTTGGGCTTTTTCGCAGAATTTTTATCGAACAAGAAAAAATCTAACAAGATATTATCAAAAGCAATTACATTGAAATGTATTAAATGCTAAGTAAATTCTGCTCGAATGTAAAGATAAAAAGATCCAGAAAGAATTTATTGAAATAAAATAGTATGAAAAAATCTTAATAATTATATCTATTGGTTAAAAGATCGAAGCAGATAGTGCTGCCAGATATAAATTGTTTGCTAATAATAATAGTGAATATTTACGATTAAACAAAGCAAAGCATTTATTTCATTTTCATTGCTCTTTTTTTGAAGTAAAAGTAAAGCACAGTCTAGTTCAAGTTTCTTACAATCATATGGTCTAAGTGCTGTAGAAAGAGGGAAATTGCCAAATTTTCAAAAAACCTTTTTTTGTATAAATCAATTTAGGATAAAATTAGGATTATTTTTTATTTAGATTGCAAACTTGGTTGCACTAATAAAATCTTGCAGTATAGCTCTCTGAAATTTGTATTTTCTTATAATTTATTATAAACTTATAGCATAAAATTTAATTTTTTGGAGATCTTTTTTTTTGTTGATTTCCCCCCTTTCTGCAGCACTGATTAGAAATTTTTGTAAGTGTGTTAATTATCCGATTTATTTTCTGCTGTCTAAATTTGGTCAGATGCATATAGATCATTGTTATGTTTAAAACACAAATTACAGGTTATCTTATGATTTTGTAAATATCGATTTTCTTCTTTTCTACTGCACTTAGTCTATATAATCAAAAATTAATTTAATTTTTTTTTTATAAATATATTCTATATATCTTCAAATATCAAATATATTTATTTAATTACAAGTTAATATATAAAATTTTGTGTAATTATATTTTAAGTCAAATGTATTAAGTTAATATATCATGCTTAATAAGATAACTAATATTAACAAATAATCATTTAAATAATAGCTGACTAATAGCTTGTTGGCTGTTATAAGATTAGAAGGATATAAAAATAAGCTAATATAAGTAAGATATTAGAAAAATTTGTTATATCTCAAATAATAAAAAATAAAAATTATCAAAATATCATTTTAAAAATAATGATATTATAAAGAAG